TGATAATGATATCCAATCTCCGATTGGGAGACAGCAGAAAAAGCTCTTAATAGATGCATGGTAGTCATTCCTGCCTACTGTCTGATGTTATTTAACCACGATGTTCTTCTGCGCCCTTAAGATCTTTTGCCTTCTATCTTGCCTTGTAAAATTAGTTGAATTAGTTGATACTTCTCATTGCGCATCACATGCCCTAAGTATGTCATCTTTCTGATTTTTACGATACGCGTAATTTCCAGATCTTTATTCATACGTTGGATCACGGTGTTGTTTGTAACATGATGGATATAGAAAAGTCTGAGTAAGCGGCGGTAGCACCACATTTCGAAAGATTCTTAAAGATTATATGTTGCCTTCGTCGAGGTCCAGGCTTCGGCTCCATATAAAAGGGTAGAAAATACTTAAGACATCTTAACACTCATGTTCTTATATCAATTGTCAGGTGCATATTACATAAAATCTTCCTGAGGCGATTGAAAACAGCTTTCGCCTTTCTATACGACCTCTTATTCCTTGTAAGTGGTCCGATTTCTTATTTAGGCTGCATCCAATGTGTAATTTTGTCGACTGTTTTCAAAGGTTCATTATTAGCTATAAATTGGTGCTGTATTACATCGTTTTTACTTACTACAAGAATTTTGGTCTAGTTACAGTTTAATTTCATGCCGTATATGTCACAGGCTTCCACTACACGCTCTATTAATATTTGCAAATCCTTCGCATTATCAGCAATCAAAACCGTATCGTTCGCATGTCTTAAATTGTTTATGATTACACCATTGATTTTTATACCTTCTCTTAAACTATCAATAGCTTCCCTGAACAGCATTTCCGAGTAAATATTGAACAACGTCGGTGACAAAATGCAGCTCTGATGCACTCCCCGTTTTATCGTGAATTCTTGTGAGCTTTCGTTGTCTACTCATACAGTTGCCCTTTGCTGTAAGTATAAATTTTTAATTAGGCGTAAATCTGTCATCAATACTAGATTCTTTCAGTATCTGAAATAATTTTTGATAATGCACCTTGTCAAATGCTTTTTCAAAGTTTATAAAGCATGCGTAGACTTCGAAATTTACGTTTCGAGCTCTTTGTATGGAAAGTAACCTTCCAGAAATAAATTGCATGACAGGGCCGTCAATAGTAGTAAGAGAGGTAAAAGCAACTTAAACAGTGTAAAAATGGTAAGGCCACAGGTCCGGACGAAATACCCGTTGAAATGATCAAGATGATGAGTGAAGTGAGCACGAAGGAGTTAACTGAACTGTTTAAAGCCATATACGATTTAGCTAATATCTTAGACGAATGGCTATTTTCAACATTTGTAACACTACCAAAACAACAATCTGCGAAAACGTGAGAAGATCTCCGAACTATCAGCCTTATGGGTCTATAGAAGAAATGCTAAGAAAATGTCGGTGAAATGCAATTTGGATTTCGCAATTCCATGGGTACAAGTCCTACTTCAGATATGCCGCGATGTCAGTTGTGATGTCTATATTTGTTTTATTGACTACGCCAAAGCATTTGACCGTTATCAGCACCAGAAGATGGTCGCCGTCCTACAAAGAGTATAATAGGATGAAACGCTGGTAACACTGTGTTACTAGCAACCAGCCTAAATGATCTACAACAAGCCTTAGTGAGTGAGAACGTAGTGAGAACTGTAAGCGTAACATACGGACTAGACCTAAATATTAAGAAAACTAAATTCATGGTTGTTCTGCTGTTCAGCAGAACAACCCTCCTAGAAGAATTCTTATGCCACAACCCGTGGAAAGTAGAAAAAGGGGTAGGCCAAAACTCAGATGGAAGGATGGTGTAGATGAGAATGGTAGAAAGATAGGCGCAGCAAACTGGCAACGGTTGGCAATGGATAGGACTGCCTGGCGTAAAAGACTTGGGAAGGTCGAGGCTCTTTCATAGGGCTGTAGCACCATTGATGATGATGAAATTCATGGTTGTCAGCCGTGCAAATTTAGATTCCGGGGCACTAATGACAGGTATCGACCTGAATATTGAAGCCGAACGTTTTGAAAGAGTACACCAATTTAAATATCTCGGATATACAGTAAATGATAAGTGGGACCCAGACGTAGAGATTAAGATCCGAATTGAAAGAGCAATATTCAAATTCATTAAAATGAGAAAGCTCTTAAGCAACCGCAACCAAAGCATTAATCTCTCATACTGAGAATACCTTGGACAGACAGAGAAGTATTAAGACAAGTTAAGTATTGCCTTAAGTATTGACCAACACAGAAGTATTAAGACGAATGGGTAAAGAGGTGGAACTGTTAACAACTGTTAAAAGGAGGAAAGCGTCATACTTGGGCCATGTGTTTCGTAATGATAAGTACAGACTGCTACATCTTAAGGTGGAAGGCAAGATTGAAGGTAGAAGAGGTTTGGGCCAAAAGAAGAAATCCTAGCTGAGAAACTTAAGAGAATGGTTTCATATACCAGAAGCTGCGAACATAATACATGCGGCACAAAATAAAGAAACCTATCATTTGATAGTCGCCAACCTGCGGTAGAAGACGGCACATAAAGAAGAAAAATGGCAGATAGCGAAGAGATCCAGAGAGTCGACAGATTCACTTACCTCGGAACTGCCCCCAACTCACAATGAGACTACGCTCAAGAGAATAAATCCAAAATTGAAATGGCACGGTCTACATTTATTAAGTTGAGATCCTTGCTGTGCTGCAGTTATCTTAGTTTGGGAATCAAGATGTGGATAGTGAGTTGCTACATTCTTGCAGTGTTACTAGATGGAGTTGAAGCCTGGACACTGACGCAAGGTAATAAAAAGCAAATTGAGGCCTTTGAGATGTGGATCTACAGAAGGATACTAAAAATATCTTATGTGGACCATGTCACCAACGTTGAAGTCCTACAGCGCATAACAAAAGGAAAAGAAGTGCTTAATTTAGTAAAACAACGTAAGCTTGAGTACCTCGGCCACATGAGGCGAAACAAAGAAAACTATCGGAATCTTCAACTCGTGTTCAACTTAGTGTGCAACTTAGTATGACGAGCTCTGTGGGCCGGTTGTACGGCAGAATATTAAAGAAGAGGGTTGAAAGACAGATACAAGATATTGAAGAACAAAGCGGCTTTCGTACCGGGAGATCCTGCCTTGATAATATATTTATCCTACGACAAATAATTGAAAAGTGTGTCGAAAGAAGTAGAGAGACCCATTTGGTATTTATAGACCTTGAGAAAGCATATGATAGTGTCCCGTTAAAGAAAATGTTTGAGGTCCTCAAAAGGTCCGGATTGGATTCGACGTATATCCGAGCCATATATAAATTGTACGAAAATGCAGTTAGTTGTGTAAAAATTGGAACCAGAACCTCAAATGAATTTAAAGTCACTAAAGGCCTAAAGCAAGGATGCTGTTTGTCACCGACACTCTTTAAAATATACGTCCAAGAAGCATTGAGGAATTGGAGAAATAAATGTAGATTTATGGGCATCGAAGTGGGACAAGAAACTCTGTATACATTGTTGTTTGCAGATGATCAGGTGGTGGTTGCAACCGATGAGGAAGATATAAATTATATGAATCGAAAATTATTTGAGGAATATGCCAAATGGGGGCTTACTGTTAACATAAGCAAAACAGAATATTTAAAAATTGGAGGAAATACCACAGATCTGAGGCTTGAAAACGCAGTCATAAAAGGCTGCAACCAGTATAAATATCTAGAAAGCATCATATCAGCAGATGGCAGAGTTAAGATAGATGTACAAAACCGAATAACCCAAGGGAAAAAATGCATCCGAATACTGAATTCATTACTGTGGTCTAATAAAATAAAGATGCATACCAAACTTCGCGTATACAGAGCAATTGTAGAACCAATTACCACATATGGTGCCGAATGTTGGACGATGACAAAGAATGAACGAGATAAAGTAGACGTTGTAGAAATGGATTATCTTAGAAGGTCATGTCGAGTATCGAGAATGGAAAGAATCAGGAATGAGGAAATACGAAACCGTACAGGGATTAGAGATACTCTTTCAGATAGAATACAAGGAAGGCAATTACAATGGTATGGTCACGTGATGAGAATGGAGAAGGAGCGGTGACCAAAGAAAGCCTTAATGTATGTTCCGCCAGAAAGAAGGAAAAGGGGAAGACCACCAAATTCCTGGAAAAAAGAAATTACAAAAACAATGCAATCTAGAGGCTTAGAAGAGGGAGATTGGGGAGATAGGAAAAGATGGAGGCTGAAATGCGGGAAGCGGCAATCGCCGTAGGACCCCCGTTATATGATGATGATCTTCAACTCGTTATGCAGGATAAAGTATTTGGCAGGAGAGAATCGGCACGCCGTCGTATCTCGTGATTGAAAAACCTCCGACAATGATTTGGGATGACCTCCACGGAGCTGTTTCGCAGAGCAATCAACAAAACCATGATAGCCTTGATGATCGCCAACATCCGGACCTGGTAAGGCACTGAAAAAGTAGAAGGCATATCTATGTTTCGTAAATTTTAACAAGACATTTGATCGGGTCAAATTGAAGGATGTTATCCACTTATACTCACGAGAGATATCTCTGGGACTAATCAAATCGATCGAAAATATTTACCAAAACAACACATTAAAAGTAAAAGTAGAAGAAGAACTAACTGACCCTATTGAAGCTGACAATGGGAAGCTGGCACGTCAATTAAAGGGTTTTTACCCGTGTATTTAGTGGCTTTTAACATGTTCATCCAGATAGCACTGATGATGGAGGAATATTAATTCCGAAAACGTTCTGTGATGAAGCCCAATAGGGTTTTTAATATAACACCTTTTATAAAGGATTTTTTAAATATTTTTTTTATTTCCAAAGGTCTAAGATGCACTGAAATGATAGGAAAGTAAAGAAGTAATACAATTTACATATATTAAAAATAACCTAAAAACTTATAACCTTACGTCACGATATGCCTTTTAATACGTGTCTAATAAATATTTTCAGACTGTCATCTGATGACATTTTACAATCATTTTTCTGAATTTTGTATTTTGACCTAAACCAAATCAATTTTTGTTATTCTGTAATTATGGACATTGATTACGAAGAGTTATACAAATGGGTCGACAGCCATTCTATTAGTAGGCCAAAACGAAACCTTAACAGAGATTTTTCAGATGCTGTACCTTTAGCAGAAATACTAAAACATCACTATCCTAGATTAGTCGAGTTGCACAACTACAGTCCTGGAAATGCTTTCTCCAATAAAATGATCAACTGGAACACCATCAATAAGAGAGTTCTTAATAAACTAAATATAAACTTAAACAGAAAGAAGCAAGAAGATCTAGCACTTGGGAAACCAGAGGCCATAGCTAAGTTACTTAGTATGATCAAAACTAAAGTAGAATCAAAGTCGGCTCGTGGCGATGAGAAAGACCAAGGTAATAAAGTGTATTATATCGAAAATGGTAACAATCTCTCTTCTGCAGAAGATATCGTTCCCGTTAAAATAAATAATGGATCTGAGATGATAGACAAGAAATTAGTACCTGCTGAACTATTTGAAAACATGGAAAAAGAATTAGCGCAAAAGGAAGAAGCAGTAAATCTCTTGACAAGTAAGGTAGACCATTTAGAAAAATTAATAGCTATTAAGGATGAAAGAATTAAGGATTTAACAACGCAAATGCAAGCGATTATTAATAGTACAAATGGATCAACTTCGAATTTGCTGTCTCCAAAGGCCAGGTTTTTTAAAAATTTATTTTAAATTTTGTTTGTAAAAATTTTTACGTCATATATATCAATATACGAATATACAGATTATTAAAAATATTATATTACAAGGAAAATAATCGAATTATTTTTAGTATTTAGTAAAATAAGTTAATTTTATGGTTAGATTGTAATAATTATTTATATATTTGTTCGTTAGAATTGAATGGGCGGACGAAGTCCGTTTTCACAGTAAATGGAGGTATGCAGCCAATAATAAACTTAAATGTATTATCTTTCGAATGATGCTTAATAGGTGGTTGTCCAGGTAATATTACCAAAATTGCAAGTCGGATGTTCACTGTGATATTTGTTGTAAAACGCCCTATGTGGTACTTTGGTCTTTTTTGCATGCCACACTGATTCTTAAAAAGACGGTAGTCCAATCTCTGTGTACAACAGAGTTGTACACAGAGATTGGACACGTAATCGGTTGTCAGACACGTAAAAATTGAGTTTTGCATGATTTATAGATACAAGTAACTTTTTTTATCGACATTAATGAGATAATAAAGAACATCCAGAAATGTCTGAATCAAGAGCAATAAAGATGGTCAAAATGAGTTCACAATAAAGCAATGAAGGTAAGTGAACTTTTTTCTGTGTACTGTGAAAATCTTCAAAATTTTGTACCTATCCTTTTTACACATTACTAAGTTAAAATAGGTACACAATTGTTATATATATATATATATATATATATATATATATATATATATATATATATATATATATATATATATATATATATATATATGATTTCAGTTGTTTTCCGGGTTTGGCTCCGCGTTAAGTAATTTTGGTTTTTATAAAAACCATTGTTTTGACGACGTTTCGGCAAGGTCACACTTGCCATTGTCAAGTCAGATTAGTTCTGCTTCGTCTTGATGTTTCAGGAGAACTGATTTCTCGGTCGTTGCTCGCTAAGTTTAAATACCTTGAAGCGCTTCTTGTTATTGGTCCTGTGCGTAGAGTGGGCGGGGTCTTCTTCGCTATTTTAATTTCTATGTTTTTCTGTAGAATATGTTTCCACGTATTTGGGAGTCTTTGGGCATCGTCTCTGGTATTTAAATTTTTTGGATGTTTTTCGATCTCTATGGCTTCCCTGATTACACGTTTGGCCTTATTTTCGATATTGGCTAGCATTGTTGTTCCATTTAAGTCGATTTTGTGTCCTGTGTTGATGGCATGTTGTGCTAGAGATGAAGTTTTCTGTTTTCTTTCGATGGCGTTTCGATGTTCTTCGCGTCTAACTTGTATCCTTCGATTTGTCTGCCGGATGTACGATTTATCGCAGTCCTCACACGGGATTCTGTATACACCTTGATTTTCCAATGCAACTTTTGTTTTTGCCGATGGTAATATGGTTTCGATTTTTTTGTCGGTGTTAAAAATAGTCTCTATGTTGTTTTTACGTAGCACTCTACTGATTTTGTCTGTCGTACCCTTTATATAGGGCAGGATAGTTTTTCCGACTGGTTTTTCCTCTTCTTCTGGATCTTTGATTTTGTTTCGGGATTTCTGTGCCTTTTCAATCGTATACATGGAGAAGCCATTTTTTCTTAGAGCTGTTTTGACTTTTTGCATTTCTTCGTTCTTATGTTCCTTATCTGCCAGTTTCTCAGATCTTGTTATTAGGGTTTTTATTACCGAATTTAATTGTGCAGGATGATGGTGTGAGTCTGCGTGTAAGTACCTGTCAGTATGGGTTGACCATACTCTCTACTGAGACCTACTTTCGTCAATGTATAAAATAGTTTTTTCAAAGGTACCGTATCATATGCCTTCTCTAAATCTACAAACAATAGGTGGGTAGATAGATTCCTTACCTTCCGTTTTTCGATTACCTGCTGCAGAACGAATATATTATCAATGCACGATCTTCCTGCCCGAAATCCATTTTGTTCCTCTATGTCTTCATATTCTGATTCAATTCGCTTTTTTATTATTCGACCGTACAACCTCCCAACTGAGCTAGTAACAGTTATTCCTCTATAATTAGAGCAATTGCGTTTATCCCCTTTTTTGTATATTGAGCTGATGTATCCAACATTCCAATCATCAGGGATATTTTGTCACACACACAATTGTTGTGAAGTGTAATATCTTGCAGACTTTTCCAGGCTTAATAACAAGAGCTTAATTTTTAATAAAACTATTTAAGGAGTATAGCAATAATTGAAGCATTATTATTTTTCAGATATTCCTGATGTTCACTCGACTTATGTGCCTGAATCTGCTTCATCTAATAAACAAAACCATGTTTCTGTTCATGAGAACCATAAAACCTACTGTCAGTTAAAGCCTGTTATGTTTAATGATAATGCCAATGGAAATTTTTTCATGGATGAAGAAACTGAGAGTAAAAACATATGTGATAAATATTTGTGTAGTAGATATTCTGACAACTCTGTGTATGACATAACATATGAACCAGAATATAGCAGTATCAGTGATGATTGTGAGGAAAATACAACTATTACCTGTGTTCAAGAACATGATAACAGAAAGGTGCGTTTCGATGCATTTCAAAAAACTGAACATGGATAACAGTATTGAAGTAAACAAGGCAGATAAAACAAACAGTTGTAAAGAAAACTAAAAGAGAAAGCAGAAGCCTTTAACTTCGAAACGTAACGTAACAAAGGAGAAAAGACAATTAGAAGAGGAATATGTAGCTTTTTATATAGCTACAATATTTATGGGCATGTTATGAGAGCAAATACAGAAAACATGGAAAGACTCATAATACAAGGAAAGGTAGAAGGCCGAAGATCACGAGGAAGATCCCCAACAAGATGGATAGATCAAATTACAGGAATATGCCAAAGACCTATGCATGAATGACCAGAGACCGAGATCTCTGGAGACAGACCATACACGACATCACGTTGACCACTACACTCTCCCTGGGGGGTCAGGATTGAAGAGAGAGATGTAGCTTTTTAAAATAAATTGAAAATAGTTAAAGAGGTAAGTCTCACGTGCAATCGATTATGTAGATTTAAATGTACTACCAATATACAGGATAATGCTCGTAAAATAGCTAATAACGCAAGTATTTAATAGTTTCTGGAAAAGCCAGACAGACTGGGACCATAAAAGACAATTTATTACACAAGCAGTTAAAGTGGTAATGCTAGCAGAAGACGTCCAAGAAATGATAATAAAAAGGACCGTAGACAGCATTCTTACACTTACACTCTCCACTTAAACGGATCTAAAACAAAGGTGTGCGAGTCATTTTTTTAACTATACTTGCCATATCTGTGAAAATAGTCAAAAATTCAATAAGGAAAATAATTAATTATGCAGCTGGGTTGGTAATCTTCTTCTTATGGTAGCCCGGGGTGGGTCTTGGCTGACTACACAACCTGCTTCTATCTCAAACGGTCGTCCATGATGTTTAAGTCAGTGGGTAGCCCCATTGTTCTCAAATCTGACCATATATAATATATCTCCATCGCATTCGTGGACGTCCTAAGGGCCTTCTCCCTGTCGGGACTTCTTCCCAGATTAACTTGGTAAGGCGGTTATTAGGGAGCCTATGAACATGGTCAGCCCATCTTAGACGTTGGGATTTAATCTCTTGGACTACGTCGCTAGCACTATACATTTGTTTGACCTCGGCATTTGTTCTCATTCGGTATTGGTTAGTATTCGGATCGTGATAGGGACCGAAGATTTTTCTGAGTATTTTCCTCTCAAAGCATCTGAGTTTACTTTCCATTGCTTTTGTCAGCGTCCACGTCTCACACCCATACATGAGCACCGGTCTAATTACTGTTTTATATATCCTGATTTTTGATGTTCGTGTTAGGCTCTTGGATTTAATAGTGTTGTGGAGGCTATACATACATCTGTTTACTGCCTGAATTCTCCCTTTTATCTCTTCCGTGATATCGTTATCTGTGGTGATAGTCGCTCCGAGATATTTAAAAACTCTCCACTCTTTCAAAGTTATAGTGGGCTATTGTTACATTTTGTCCTATTCTATCTCGTCTCTTTTGTCTGTTAATGCACATATATTTGGTTTTCTCTTCACTGACCCTTAGACCGGTATTTTTTGCTTCTCTCTCTAATTTATTGAAGGATTATTTTACATTGGTGACGGTATTTCCTACAATGTCAATGTCATATACGTATGCTAGTAGTAATTTTGGTCCATTTACTGTCAGTAGTTCTGTTCTAATTTGTGCGGTTTTTAATACTTTTTCCAGGATTATATTAAAAAAAAGAGGTGACAGCGCGTCTCCTTGTTTCAGTCCACTGTTTATTTCAAACGACTTTGAGAGCTTGTTACCTATCCGCACTCTAGATCTACAGCCATTTACATAAACTTTAACTAGCTGGATAAGTTTTTTTGGAACTGAAAGTTCTGCCATTGCATTCCACATCTGATTCCTTTTAATGCTGTCGTATGCTTGTCGGAAATCTATGAAGAGATTATGAATGGTTCTATTGAATTCCCATCCTTTTTCAAGCAGCTGCCTGAGAGTAAAAATCTGATCTATGGTCGATCTATTTTTTCTGAACCCGGCTTGGTATCCCCCTATGAAATTTTCTACAAAAGGCGTTAGTCTACTTAATAGGATGTTCGATAAGATTTTGTACGCCGTATTAAGTAGGGAGATGCCTCTATAGTTAGAGCACTTGGTTTTGTCTCCCCTTTTATGGATAGGAATTATTACACTTTCGTGCCATTTTGTTGGTATTTTCTCTTCGTTCCATATAAGTGTTATTAGTTTGTGTAATTGTCTATGTAAAGTTTCTCCTCCGTACTTAAGAAATTCGGCTGGTATATTGTCAGAGCCTGTAGCTTTTGCGTTCTTCAATTTGTTAATTGCTTGCAATGTTTCGTCCATTTTTGGGTACTCTACCGGTAGGTTCACCCCAAGGTATATATCCTCTCCATGTTCTTCATCTTGATGTATATTAAGTAAATTTTTGAAATATTCTTGCCATGTTTGGAGTAATTCTTGTTCGTTGATTATTAATTCATCATTATTTTTCCTCAATACAGACACGCAGTTAGGTCTGAATCCTCTCTTTTC